TAATGGGTCAACATTCGTTTGGATGTGGTAACAGCGAGAGAGAGAGAACTTGTGTTTTGTATGTTCATATTATGGGAGGGTTTACAGTGTTCAAAAAGATGTTTGAAGGTACATTCCAGTAAACATTGAAGTTCATACAGGGAGCATGGACTACATGTTTAGAAATCTTCATCCAACCATTGTGACAGTACACAAGTCCAATCCCTTTTGTCTGTAATCTGGAGGTGTGAGAACACCTGTCTGTGGTGCCAGTGAATGCTTACATAGCACACCCATCACAGGCGTCTTAATGTGTTTCACATGTAAAAAAAAAAAAAACGAAATGCTAAGTAATTTCCCACAGTCGCCAGTCAGATTCAGACCTGCATTGGAAGGTTGAATATAAATAGTGATACAAGAAGCAGAAAGAGGAAGATATATCGATGATATATCAGGATGTACACTCCCACTAGCCCTGTGAGGTGTTATATGGTCAAATTTCAAACTACTTTGTACACTCTCACTAATCCTTGGGGCTTTTATCTTGCCAAATTCCAACCTACCTGGACATGGAGAGTGTTGAAGCCCAGATTCCTGTTAGGCTCCACAGCCAGAATAAGCCAATAACTACTGGTGACAACCCTAGATATTAGTCTGTGTATGCTCCTACCTGCCAGCCTAGGCTCTCAAACACAGATTTCTGGTTCTCAATCCACTTAAAGAGCTTTGCCACACTCCAAATTATTTGTTGATCACTGCTCACCCTTTGTGGTGCTTAAAGTAATCAGTTCTCCTCTCTACTTGCATTTTCCCACCAAGTAAGGCACAAGTAAGTAATCTTAACTGAAAGTCACAAAAGCATGACATTTTATATTATATTACATCTGTCAACATTTGTTGGATGTAGTAACAGCAAGAGAGAGCTTGTGTTTTGTATGTCCACAACACTGGATGGTTTACAGTGTTCAAAACGATATTTAAAGGTACATTTTAGTAATCTTTGAAGTTCAAACAGGGAGCATGGACTACCTGCTCAGCAATCTTCATCCAACCATTGCTATGTACTCTCCACGTTTGAATATAATTAGTGGTATAGGAAGCAGAGAGAGGAAGATATATGGTTGATGTTTCAGGATGTACTCTCTCCTACTAACCCTGTGAGGTGTTATCTGGTCAAATTACAACTTACCTTGCTGTGGGCCATGGTGAAGCCCAGATTACCATTAGGCTCTACAGCCTGAGTAAGCCAATGCCTACGGGTGAAATGTTTCTGTGTATGCTATTGCCTGCCAGCCTAAGCTCTTACACCCAGATTCTGCTTCTCAATCCACTCAACAAGCCTTCACACACTCCAAATTTCTGTTGATCACTGTCCATCTTGTTCACACTTTGGCTTGCTCACCTTAGCAGTGCGTAAAGTCATCAGTCCCTATTTCTACCATATCACAAGATAGCGCCATCAGGTGTGCGGTTACTCTCCAGTCACCACCCACCTCAAGACAGTTATCTAGTGTTTCCTGACTATTTCACAAAGAATAATTTCACGAAGCACAGAAAATATAGCAATCTAATATATTAAAACCTCCTGCGCTTCAGATGAAGAAACACACACTAAGCTGCCACACCCTCCTTTAAACCAAAAAGTACATAAAGAAATAAGAAAAAAAATGGTGTGGCGCTAAGACAAATGTCACTAAACATACATAATATATATAAACAAGTGCTTATAAATGATCATGCATATATAAACCTATTGCATATCCCCTAATAGGGGCACGTGACTATATGCTTGTGATGGTTGCACAAAAACACCATGCAAAGGAATATTAAATTCCTACAAGTGACAAAGGTGAATATATGACAGTCCACTACACACAAAGACTGTGATCCTTTTAACAAGCGTGAGAGTGCCACAGGTGTCACTGGTGCCACAATCCAGAAATGGTTTGAGTGCCTCCTCACCTCCCCGCACTGACCACAAGGGCCAATACGCCTTTGCACCTTAAAGGTGTACTCCTCGAATGCCAGCCGGTACAGGTCCACACTGGATGCTACCTCAGGCGCTGTTATCCAAAATGCCACCTCCAGCTGCTATATAGTGGTGGTAATATACCACCAGATGATGCTCAGAGACATAAGAAGATTGCCATAGCGTGATACTGCAAAATTTATTGATAAGGTGCAAAGGCGTATTGGCCCTTGTGGTCAGTGCGGGGAGGTGAGGAGGCACTCAAACCATTTCTGGATTGTGGCACCAGTGACACCTGTGGCACTCTCACGCTTGTTAAAAGGATCACAGTCTTTGTGTGTAGTGGACTGTCATATATTCACCTTTGTCACTTGTAGGAATTTAATATTCCTTTGCATGGTGTTTTTGTGCAACCATCACAAGCATATAGTCACGTGCCCCTATTAGGGGATATGCAATAGGTTTATATATGCATGATCATTTATAAGCACTTGTTTTATATATATTATGTATGTTTAGTGACATTTGTCTTAGCGCCACACCATTTTTTTCTTATAGCAATCTAATAACTACACTTTTGAGTAAGGATCATTTCATCCTGCTTCATATTACTACCAGTATCAATCACTTACTAGACATTTGCTAAACCACAATGCCTATGAATTACTAAACATGATCTTTTGATTTACAACTAGAGGGATTTATTATATTCATCATCAGACTTGCAGGTTTGATAGGTCTGACATTTCAAAAATCAAATGAGATCATAAATTTACCTCTGCACTAACATTAAATCATAACATCACACACATTTTATTAACGAGGTATTTCTGACATTAGTTGGGGACCTTTCCATGGGTTAAATGCCTATTAAATGTCATTTGGAAAATTAAATGTTTACATACAGCAAGATTATATTTATCCATTAGCAAATCGATCTCCTTTCTGCTGGAGGCAACTAGGCTTGATGAATACCTACGTAAATTTACATTTCACGTAGTTCGGAGCACAGGCAACATTTATCCATGAGTACTAGAAATGCCTAATAGGATCAAATTTATTTCATCAGACTTATAAAAATGATGTTTGTGTTTAGGTTACTGTAGTTATTAAGCAACCCAAAAGGGCAAGAAAAATAATTCAGTCCCTTGTTAATGTGCTGCCAGTTTGTAAAATTAGGGAGTGATTATCTTTATTAAAAAAAAATGTATACATAAATAAATAAATAACCCCTTCCCACGGCCACTTACCGGCTCTTTAAGAGGTTCTAAATGCCAGGAGTGTGATTGGCAGTCACAGCGGTCACATAATTGGAAAGCTCTCGTTTGCAAGTATGTATCAGAAGCAATGATGGTATTAAAAAGTGCAAATAACTACAAGCCACCTGATGCTTTTCTCCTGTATATATATATCTGTTCCCCATTTATAAAGTGACTTGTGTAAAAGTTATTGTATATCTCAGTATTCAGTGTTATGCAGGCCATACATGATTCGAATTCCGAACAATTTTTCGTCCGAAAATCGGAAACGTCATTTGCTCGGTAATTCGATGGTGCCATCATTTATTTCGAAAATCGGGCTGACCGAGTCATAAAGTTCACCCCATATAACAGGCAAAACAACTGTTCCTTCCAGGTCACAGCTTATGCGCATATTCTTTTCGGAAAAACGATCGTACGATTTAACCTACGCTCCTCACAAGACCTCCTTCTCTCTAGCTCCCTGGTCTCCTCCTCCTATGCCCGCCTCCAGGACTTCTCCAGGGTGTCACCCATCCTCTGGAACTCTCTGCCCCAACCCATCAGATTATCACCTACTCTCCTCTCCTTTAGGGCACACCCTGAAAACCCATCTCTTCAGGGAAGCCTACCCCACCCCCTGCTAACTTGTCGACCTCCTCCACTCTTCCTACCACTCCATCCCCCACAGCTATCTCCTCCTGTGCCACCATCCCCTCCCTCCTAGATTGTAAGCTCGAAAGAGCAGGGCCCTCAATCCCCTCATGTTTTGCATTGTATTGGTATTGTTCTGTCACATGTTCTGTCCCCCTTTGTAATGTACAGCGCTGAGCGAATTATTGGCGCTTTATAAATACTGTATAATAATATTAATTGAGTCAAGAATCGGTCCTTTTTCACGAATTTTCCAACATGCCCGATCACTGAAAAGGGGAGGAATCACGAAAATCGTCCGGTGCCATTGACCCACTAACAGAGCAAAAATCGGCCGATTATTCTTAGGTCCGATTTTCGGACAAAAAAATTGGTCGATTTTCGACCCATGTATGGCTGGCCTTAATTCCACGCTGTGCTCCCCTTCTATGGCACCGCACTCACCAAGACTTTTTGACCCCTATTCCTAGGAGGTCTATAGCACTTCAAACATGGATACTCTCGGCTCCGGTTGCTCCAGTAGAGACAGTAGATTTATGCCGATGTACTTTCCGTGGTTACTCTTCAAAAGGTGCATGCATGTAAAGGAGATATAAATCAGAGGCAGCCTCCAAGAGCGTGATACTGTATTTATTCAATGGTTAAAATCCAATAAAAATGCACTTGCACAATAAAAGGGCTTGCATTATAAAAGCCATAATTGCATTGTTAAAAACTATCGCCACTTGCATTCCATACACCGGAAGTTCGGAAGCGGAAATCATGCAACAAGCTCTGCCCGTTTCGTCACTCATAATCACTCATAATCATCATTAAGATTTACTATCACTTTAAGATAACGCTTTGTACAAAAAGCTTTTGTATTTGCATTGTCTTTTTACTATGACTAGAGGATGGCTATGGATGACATGACCATACTGTATCTGTCACCTTTTTATATCGAAAACTCAATAAAATATTGAACGTAAGATAGCACTTTTGTTATTATATTTTCCATGAATGTGTCAAGGCTCTGTCCACAGCAGAGGTACTCAGAGACCTGGCATTCCTGCCAGTACCTTGCATGGCCGCAGAAATGCACACTGGCAAAAATCTATGCGCATTGGTGCACGGACACGAGCAGGAACACACATGCGCACTGGCGCACAGTTACGCACGCATTAGCCCAGTTTGGCGTCAGACGGCCTTTATAAGGAAACCCATCACTCCCTCAAATTGCTGGTTGATCTCTGGCTCCTCAGTACTTTCGTCCGTGTTCACTTGCTACTGTGATCTGCTGTTACCAATTTGGCTTGTTCCTGGACCTGTCTTCTCTGCCTGACTCCTGATCTGACCCTGGCTTGGCTAACAGATATTCTCACCTGCTCTCCTGATCTGACCCCGGCTTGGTTAATGGATTTTCTCACCTGCTCTCCTGATCTGACCCCGGATTGGCTAATAGATATTCTCACCTGCTCTCCTGATCTGACCCCGGCTTGCCTAATAGATATTCTCACTTGCTCTCCTGTGTATGACCCCGGCTATCCTATTGACTACGTCTGCTCCAATCTCCACCCGACCTTGGCTTTGAACCGACTACTCTGTGGTCCTCTGCTACCCTGAAGATCTGCATACCTCTCATGGGTGCCACCTGTCTGCAGACACCATTCCACTGCATCAGCTTTGCTCCTGGGTATACCTCTGACAAGCATTCCTACAGGCGACCCGTGCTACTTGGGCCTGACTCCTTCTGTTCCATATCCAGGGGAGTCTGGAACTTAGCCACAAGGGAAGCCCTCTCTCTATTGGCCTCTAACACAAGGTACATGATAATATGTTTGCAATACAAGACAACAGCCATTAAAAATAGATTAGTAAAATAAACCTTTGTGAACCTTCCCCTTCCACAAACACTTTAACATTGTGGGAACCTCATAATTTGCTACCTCTACTGTCTTTCATCCCAAAACATGAAAATTAAGCAGACTTACCAGTGGTATGGTTACTGGTATGTAAATTTCTACTTTTCTGCAAAGGTCAACAGCTACACCCTAATTGCATTTTCTAACCATTCCTTCTGAACATTAATGCAGTGATTGACACCTTATCTTCACCTATGTTGTAAGAGAGACAAGTCTAAGCTTCCAATCAAGAAATCACTGGGTTTCAAAGACAAACTTAAGCAGAGTTTTTTGTTTACTGATTAGCTCCAGTGAATTTTTTATAATTTAGTCAATGGTGATATTTTAGAAAAGACTGAACACCTTCTAGCTGTTTTATTCCTCGCGCTCCATTCCAACTCCCAGGCATATCCAGGGCACATTTCATGTATTCAAGAAAGGAAACTAACACATGGAACTTATAATTACTGCTTACTGAATTATGTAAAAAAGCAATGTCTTACATGAGTGGCATTCAAGATCAAAACTTCTTCTTCCATTTCAGCAACATTTCAGGTTCAGCATGACCCTTTCTTATTAGAGCTCTGGCTTGAGAAAGAGTCAAGCTGAATACAAAACGTTGCTAAGATGGAATAACATGCAACTCATGTCAGGTGATGTCTATTTGACATTTCTGTCTTAGAACTTCTCTAAATATTAGAAAAGAGTTGCATTATTGACAAGGAGGAAATTTAAAGCATTGATTAACAGACAAAAGCTTAATTGCATGTGAAGTTTCCTTTCTTGAAGCTGCTCCAGAAGTTCAAATGTTCTGTAGACTATACCTGTCAGGGAATTCCAGTGAGACATTTAGAAGCAATTCCATCTGGCATATGTTTTGGCGGTTTTCCTACCAACACTTATTTACTTGGTTCTATACAGATTATAAATGTAATAAGTGATTATAAACTTTTATCTATACCTGAATTTAGCCAATAGTGTTAATATTAAAAGATAACCACTGTGCAAAAAATAAAGATCTAATTTATTTACACAGCAAGGAAGCTTTCTATTAATCAAATACAACAAAAATATAATACAGAATGTTACCAATACAAAGACTACAAGAAAGAGATAGATAGTTACAAGAAAAAGACAGAGCAATGGTGATACATTACAGCCATCCTGATGTTCTGAGGTCTGTGCTGTGGAAGGCACATGGCACAAAAAGGAAGGGCTCTTTTGTTTTTGTTGTTTTATACACTTTCCAAAAGACCATCCCTAAACCCACCCACCCAAGTAAATCACACTTCAAATGGGTGGGCTTCAGAGCAATGGTTAGTTTAAATAAAAGAGAGAACAGGAAATTCAAGTTGCCTTCCATCCCCCTCAGCTCCATTGAGTCTTTTGCAGTGTAATCCCCCAACAGTCAAAATATAACCTTCATGAAGATGTAGGCCCAAAATTGCCATTACACATAGCATCACTCATAGAAATGTACATAGGCACATCTCTAATAGAAATGATCATAGGCACAGGTGCCAGACGGACTATTTGAGGGATGCTTTTGCTCACTGTCACTGATGACTGGTCTTCAGCTGTTCCCTGTGTACTGTGTTCTTCCAGTGTGTTCCCTTGTTATTGACCTGGCTTGTTCCTGACCTGATCTTGACTTGGCACAAATTCCTGACCCAACTTGTTCCTGACTTTGTCTCTGCCTATGTTTTGGTGCCTCCTGACCGCCTGTTGATGACCCTGGCTAATCTTTTGGCCTCGCTTCTGTTTCTAATCTTGGCTTCCCAACCTGTTTGAGTGCCTGCTCGGCTGTCCGCTGTTGCAGTTCTACACCTTGCGGTGTGTTGTGACTGATAGTCTGCTGAAAGTTTTGCAAGCCACACATCCTGGGCCTGCAGCACAAGTGGAGTGTCCCTTTAACCTCAGCTGGACTACTGAGCACAGCTGTTGTTCCTGACCTGATGGTTCACCAGTCTTCTTGGGACTGCATCTCCTACTGCAGGGTCTCCTATCAACATCTACTGGAACTTGTGTTCCTCCTGTCCCTTGGCACCCTCTGTTCCACTCTTAGTGGGGCCTGGGCTGGAGATACAAGAGAGCCCATGTCATGGTGTGAGGTCAGGTTCAGAGACCAGTAGCTATAGCAGCAGACCAACAAACAGGATAGGTAAACAAGCAGGTCACCCTGGTGGATGACGCAAGCTCACCTGAGGTGCGGGGTCTAAGCACTAACTGGTATTCACCAGAGCTCCTGATGGTGGAGATGGATTTACTGCGTGTTAGTACCAGGTTGCAGTTCTCAGGATTGCTCCACCAGGAAATGAACAAGCCAGGATCCAGTAACTGATATGGCAGGTAGGGATCTAGCAGAAGCATAGTCAGTAATCAAGCCAAGGGTCGGTAACAAGTGATAGGAGGTTGGGATGAGGCAGAGTTGTAGTCAAGGAACAAGCCAAAGGTCGGTAGCGAAGGTATGGACGGCAGCAGAAGAGACAAAAGCGAGATACTAGATGGAGATGGCACAATAATCTAGCAAACAGGAAGTGCTAAGACATGGTTTAAATCAGGAAGTTCATGGGAGGAGCAAGGAGTTCAAGGTTCAGCAGAAAACAAGGCACAAGGCAGGATTGTCCAATAGATCAGGCAGAGTGTTGTCCAGCATCCCAGGTAGCTCAGTGAGAAGAGTTACTGCCAGACACAATAGAGGTCCCAGCTTCAAGTCCAGGCCAACCTTGTCATTTCAGTCTCCTCTTAGATATGTGACAGTACCAATCCATAGCTTATCAGAACACATAATAGCCCATCCTCGGGCTGAATTATCATTTAGATTTCTTGTGTAACAGGTATAATTTTTGGAGTAAGTTATGGACATTAGAACATAGGTGCAAAGTGTGCCACCCCTTTTAAAACCATGAAGATAAAAAGACAACATTTTTATTGCTAATCATATCTGGTTGAATTATAATCAGCATCTTGTAACTTGAAGGAAAGATTTTGGACACTAACAAACTTAAAGCCCAACTCCCAGAATTGAACAAAAATCGACTCTTGCAGGGAAGCCCACACCCGGCACTGCAAGGGCAATTGCTCATTATGTCTAGGAGTGCATGAAAAAGGTGTAAATACTTATTCCTCTCTCCAGCAGGGTCCTTCCAACAATGCAACTGGTCCTCCACAGCCTAGTCTCTAAGCTGTGACTAGCTCAGGTTGCAGTGCAGCCTCCTCAGCATACAACACTGGGTTAAAGTAGAATTAAAGACTTTTTTTCATTTTGGATAGAGTAAAGGAGGGTGATAACCTGATCAGTATTTTTTATGTCATCTGTATCCTATAAAAGGAGATTTCCCTTCATTTCCTGTCCCATAGAAAGTGAGAGGAAATTCCTCCAAAGTGAGGGAATCCCAGAGTGTTACCAGAGTCACAGAAATAGTCTTCCCATTAGAAGATTTCCCCTTGTACTCTTGTCCTGATGTCAACCAAAAATTTTGGATTTTCTTTTACTTTCACTTTCGGTGTCATGGCAAGGATATTTTGCTATGTGGCCTCAAGTAAAATTATACTCCTTGACACATTCGGCGAGCACAGTGGTATGGGCTTTTCATGGTATAATGTTGCCTCCTCACCACCTGTCGCAAACCTAAGTCTCTACAGGCAGACCACTCTAGCCCAAGTAAAGTACATCTTAAACATCCTCCAACAGCAAACACCTGGCTAAATGCCTATAATTGGTAGCACTTAAAGATCTATGGCAAAAAATAACCTGTCCAAAAGGGATTAAATAGTTTACTCCCCATATGAAACAAAAATATATTTGAAATATATTTTAAAAATATTCTTCCCAAATATATTGATATATATTTGAAATACTACAATTTTGGCCATATTCAATATATTTCAATATATATATATATATATATATATATATATATATATATATATGTGTGTGTTGCATGTTGAAATGCATTTTTATTGCAAAATATGTAATGAAAAATATTTTTTAAAATACATTTCAAATATACTCGTGTATCACATTGTATTGTTATTGTACTGCCGCATGTTCTGTCTCCCATCCCTTTGTAATGTACAGCGCTGAGCGAACTGTTGGCGCTTTATAAATACTGTATAATAATAATAATTATACTCTATGTCTTTAAAAATACAAATCTACATTTTTGGAATGAATTTACAAATATATGTAAAAATATATGTTAAAATGACTTTTTTATTTTTTAAAAATATATTCTTCAGATTTTTTTTTAACATATAAAAAAGTCATTTTAACATATATTTTTACATATATTTGTAAAAGCATTCCATAAATGTAGATTTGTATTTTTAAAGACATAAATATATTTAAAATGTATTTTTTTAAAATATTTTTCATATATTTTGTAATAAAAACACATTTCAACATGCAGTGTATATATATACAGTCATGGCCGAAATTGTTGGCACCCTTGATATTTCTCCAGGAAATCATGTATTTCTCACGAAACGTATTGCATTAACACATGTTTTGCTATACACATGTTTATTCCCTTTGTGTGTGTATTGGGACAAAACAAAAAAAGGGAGGAAAGAAAGCAAATTCGACATAATGTCACACAAACCTCCAAAAATGGGCTGGACAAAAGTATTGGCACCCTTTCACAACTGCGGATAAATAAGAATGTTACAAGCATGTGATGCTCCTGTAAACTCACCTGGGGCAAGTAACAGGTGTGGGCAATATAGAAATCACACCTGAAAGCAGATAAAAAGGAGAGAGACGTTCACTTAACCTTTGCATTGTGTGTCTGTCTGTGCCACACTAAGCATGGACAACAGAAAAGAGGAGACGAGAACTGTCTGAGGACCTGAGAACCAAAATTGTGGCAAAATATCAACAATCTCTCAAGGTTACAAGTCCATCTCCAGAGAACTAGATTTGCCTTTGTCCACAGTGCGCAACATTATCAAGAAGTTTGCAACCCATGGTACTGTAGCTAATCTCCCTGGTCGTGGACGGATGAGGAAAATTGATGAAAGATTGCAACGCAGAATAGTCCGGATGGTGGATAAGCAGCCCCAAACATGTTCCAAAGACATTCAAGCTGTCCTGCAGGCTCAGGGAGCATCAGTGTCAGCGCGAACTATCCGTCGACATTTAAATGAATGAAACGCTATGGCAGGAGACCCAGGAGGACCCCACTGCTGACACAGAGACATAAAAAAGCAAGACTACAGTTTGCCAAAATGTACTTGAGTAAGCCAAAAGCCTTCTGGGAAAACGTCTTGTGGACAGATGAGACCAAGATAGAGCTTTTCGGTAAAGCACATCATTCTACTGTTTACCGAAAACGGAATGAGGCCTACAAAGAACAAAACACAGTACCTACGGTAAAATATGGTGGAGGTTCAATGATGTTTTGGGGTTGTTTTGCTGCTCTGGCACTGGGTGCCTTGACTGTGTGCAAGGCATCATGAAATCTGAGGATTACCAAAGGATTTTGGGTCGCACTGTAGGGCCCAGTGTCAGAAAGCTGGGTTTGCGTCCAAGATCCTGGGTCTTCCAGCAGGACAATGACCCCAAACATACGTCAAAAAGCACTCAGAAATGGATGGCAAAGAAGCGCTGGAGAGTTCTGAAGTGGCCAGCAATGAGCCCAGATCTAAATCCCATTGAACACCTGTGGAGAGATCTTAAAATTGCTGTTGGGAAAAGGTGTCCTTCCAATAAGAGAGACCTGGAGCTGTTTGCAAAGGAAGAGTGGTCCAAAATTCCGGGTGAGAGGTGTCAGAAGCTTATTGATGGTTATAGGAAGCGACTGATTTCAGTTATGTTTTCCAAAGGGTGTGCAACCAAATATTAAGTTAAGGGTGCCAATACTTTTGTCCAGCCCATTTTTGGGGTTTTGTGTGACATTATGTCATATTTGCTTTTCTGCCTCTGTTTTATATTTGTTCCAATACATACAAAGGGAATAAACATGTGTATAGCAAAACATGTGTTAATGCAATACCTTTTTTTGTGTGAAATACTTGATTTTCAGGAAAAATATCAAGGGTGCCAACAATTTCGGCCATGACTGTATATATATATTTTGGCCATATATTGAATATGGCCAAAATTGTAGTATTTCAAATATATATATTTGGGAAGAATAATTTGAAGATATATTTCAAATATATTTTTTTTCCATGTGGGTCATATGTCCATTCCACCTATTCTAGGATCGATTACCCATTTGTCTGCCCCCATCTGATTCCTTCTGGTGATTAGACCACTCCAAATGTACAATGGTGATATCTCACCTCCAATGTGGTTGATTATAATACTAATCGGGATTGAACAAATCACTACTGAGAGATCCTAATTTATGTCATGAAATTTAAGATCATATTAACCACTTGACCTCCAGAAGGTTTTACCCACTTCATGACCAAGCCATTTGTTTTCTATTCAGCACTGCTCCACTTTAACTGGTAACTGCGCAGTCATGCAATGCTGTACCCAAACAAAATTTATATTATTTTTTTTCACACAAATAAATGAAAAAGCCTGAAAATTTGGCAAAAAACTCACAAATTTTGTACTTTCTGCTACAAGACATCCAATAAAAAAAGTAAAAAAAAATCAAATTTCTTTATAAATTTAGGACAAATGTATTCTGTTACATATCTTTGATAGAAAAAAAAAAAAAAAATACCAATAAGTGTATATTGATTGGTTTGTGTGAAAGTTATAGCGTACAAACTATGCTATAACTTTTACTAAAATTTTTTGTTTATACTACTAATGGTGGTGATCAGCGACTTATAGTGGGACCGTTATCCGTGCGGAAAACAATCTCGCACTACCAGACCCTCGTTGAGAAGTACACTAAGAGATATTAACCAAAAAAATGCAGCGCAATAATAATAACTAGCAAATAATGCTAAATAATATAAACATGCAAATGTTAAAAATGAAACATAAATCTTGCTGTGTGACAGTAATATGAAATTAAATACCCATATCTGTGCATAAACTGTGTTACATATATAAACGTCTCAAAATACATAAATCTCAATGATGCACCATTCCTGTACTTCACATGTGCTGTTGCAACATATCTGCTATGCATCTACTGTAATGTCATCAAAAAATGTCCCAGTATATATATATATGTGTAGTATATATATATATATGTGTAGTATATATATATCAAAATGTGTAGTATATCAAAATGTGTAAAACGTTATTTAAAACACTGTAAAATAATGCACTCACATTAATTTGTGTCCACCTGGGACACTAACGGATCAAGGACTCTCCATGTACTGAATTGCATGAATGAACTGCATGGATCCCTTATTCAAGATGGCGGTACGTGCACTTCCGGTTCTACGGCTTGACGTCATCGCCATACCCTACGCGTTATGTTTTGACATGTGACTTCATCATGAATGTGAGTACATTATTTTACAGTGTTTTAATAAAGTTTTACACATTTTGATATACTTCACCATTTGGAGTATTTTTTTCATTTATCTGTGGAGCGTTTTGGAGTTTAGAGGTGCAGAAGGAGTTGGAGATCTGTGTACCAGCATACCCTGGTTAAAGGGAAAGGCGCGTTTTGACCTGACTGTTTGGGTCAATCCATAAGGTGAGCGCATAAGTGTGTCAGAGGTGGATATAGCACGGGGGGGGGGGGGGGGGGGGTCACACAGAAGCACTGAATGAATATCAAGGGCAGACTGACCATTCGGAAAATCTGACGAAGACCAAGTTGTCACTTTGACCCTGCTTCTTGTGTTAAACCTGCATCACTTGCCAGGGATTTTTCCCCCTAACACTGAGAGACTGTGCCAGGTATACAGGATTCATTTCAGTGCTGGCCAGGATGACCTGATGGTAAACCTACACTGCACAGCCTGCAGAGGGGATCTGTGACTAGTGATGATCCTGAAGATGGTTCAGGATGAAGGATTTCAGATTACTCCTTCTTTTTGAAAGAGAACATTACAGGAGTACAGGGTCACTGTCAATGCTAGCCTTTACAAAACGGAAAACAGAGGCCGCACCGGCCGAGCACATTACCGTCAACACCATTTAATTAATAAATAAAACCAAGTGATTTACTCAAACATCTGTAAAACAAGCGTATCATGAATAACAGATTTTCACATGTGTTTGTGAGTAAATCACTTGGTTTTATTTATTAATTAAATGATGTTGACAGCAGGGGCGGACTGACCATTTGGAAACTCGGGCACGGCCAGAGGGTCTGGGGTCAGTAAGGGGCCCCATGAGATGCCCTTGGTACATTTCATAGGCTTTTTTGGGCGTGGTTTGAGTGTGGGCCAGGACACAGGGGCCCCATGATCCCCTATTGCCCGGGGGCCCCATGAATTGTCAGTCCGCCCCCTGATGAATATACACAGTGGAGTGATTGCACATATGCACTTGGAGCACAGAGGTCTTAAAGAGACGGTTCACCAAGATTGTGTTATTATATTATTGGGACACTTGATGACATTAGATACACAGCAGATATGTTGCAACAGCACATGTGAAGTACAGGAAGCAACAAAGGAATGTCGCATCATTGAGATTTGTGTATTTTGAGACGTTTATATATGTAACACAGTTTATGCACAGATATGGGTATTTCATTTCCCATTACTGTCACACAGCAAGATTTATGTTTCATTATTCACATTTGCATGTTTATATTAGTAAGCATTATTTGCTAGTTATTATTATTGAGCTGCATTTTTTCCGTTTATTATTTATATGTGGGAACACTATACATGTTAGCTGCAATATTTGGTAGATAGGTTATCCATAGTACTGTAGGTATTTCACTTACTATTTTGACACTAAGAGACATTGACATCACTAGTGTCCGGGGTCAGTAGGGGGCCCCATGAGATGCCCCTGGTACCTTTTTCATAGGCTTTTTTGAGTTTGGGCAAGGACACAGGGGCCCCATGATCCCTATTGCCCGGGGGCCCCATGAGTTATCAGTCCGCCCCTGGCTGTATCTACTGACAAACGTTAAAGCCGAAAGTCGTAATATGGGATTAGAACTGTATATAAATAAGATGAAAATCATGAACCCAGAAAAAGACGACAATTGTAAGCTTGATGGTGACAGAATAGAATTTGAAAGCCTTTTAATCTCCTGGGCTGTCTCATAAACAAGGAAGCAACTAACAGTGACAAAATATTCTGCAGAATAGCACTTGGTATATACACAATGAAGACTCTAGACAAAGTATTCAAATGCAAAGAAATTACACTGAAAACAAAGATCAGACTCGTCCATGATCTCATTTTCTCATTTTCCCAATTGTGAATTACAGTTGTGAAAACTGGACACTACAGAAACAAAATAAAAAGATCGGCTCCTTTGAGCTTTGTTGTTGGAGAAGGGTCTTACGTGAGCCGTGAACAGCCCATAGAACTAACAGATCGATTTTGGAAGAGATCAACCTGCTAATCCACCAGAAGCCCAAATGGTGAAGTTATGACTATCAAGTTTTGGTTACGCTGTAAGAAGAGAGAAATCACTGGAGAGGGAAATATTGTTTGGGAAGGTCAAAGGAACCAGGCAAAGAGGGCAACCAACTACTAGGTGGTTGGACACATGACTATGGCTGTAGGGATGACACTGGAGGATCTCGCCAGACTAGCACAAAGCTGAATTCTTTTTAACCCCTTCACGCGTAAGGGTAAAGCAAATCTAAATGCCTAAGCACAATTTTGCAACATTGACATGTGTTAATAAAGCCATACATATCATCACAACTACTTTGTACAGCCAGGTGAATTATACCTTGTTTTTTTTCAGGACATATTGGGCTTTCATTTGGTGGTAAATGGTAATGAATATCTCCTGATTTTTTGTTTATTATCCCAAAATTGTAAAAAAAATTGTAAAAAAAAAATACTTGTTACTACGATAACCTACCACCAAAGAACAACCCAAAATAAATACTCCAGCTCTTGATGATCGCAGCGATATCATATATGTGTATGTTATTTGTTGTTTGTACCCGTAGTACAGCCCAGAAACAATAGTGTGCATTTTGTTTTTGTCTTTTTATTACCTGAAACACACTGACACTGACATCGACACTAACTGACACTGATACCAATTTTTTTCAAACCCTGACCTTTTGACCTTGACCCTTGACCCAAACACTAACCTTGGCACTGAACTAGATCAAACCTTGATCTAGGTATTTTTTCTTTATTTTTTAATATTTATTTATCTTTTTTTTTTACAAAAATAATTTTTTCTCTCTATGCCAGGAGTTATAGAGATACAATGTATCTCTCTTCTCCATTCACAGAAAGAGAAAAAAAAACAAGGGGGCCAGGCTGTACAGTGACTGATCACTGTGATAGCCAATCAGAGGCTATCACAGCGATCATGTGACCCGGAATCGGGAGTCCCAGGTCCTGATCGTTAGAACGGGACCGGGGGCTCTCAGTGCGGCGCGCTCCAAGCGCAAAGACAGGTACGCAAATATGCGGCCCCATGGAAAAAAGCACAGTTCTGTGAGGCCGCATATTTGTGTTTGTTTTAAGGGGTTAAAACTCTTATTCATCAAGTCGCTAGGCCTTGGACTCAGGTTGATTGTACTTATTATTATTATTAATAATAAGATAGGGGCAGCACAGTGGCTAAATGGTTAGCACTTTCGCCTGGCAGCACTAGGGTCATTGGTTCAAATCCCAACCACAGCACCACCTGCCTGGAGTTTGCATGTTCTCCCTGTGTCTGCATGGGTTTCCTCCAGGTACTCCAGTTTCCTCCCACACTCCAAAGACATGCTGGTAGGTTAATTGGATCCTGTCTAAAGTGGCCCTAGTATGTGTATGTATGAATGCAAGTTAGGGACCTTAGATTGTACACCCCTTGAGGGTTAGACACTGATGTGAATGTACAATATATATGTAAAGTGCTGTGTAAATTGATGGAGCTATATAAGTACCTGAAATAAATAAATAATAATAACAGGTAATAAATGGAAACATCAATTAACCAAAAAAGAACAACATAGGCTGATGCCAGAACATAAACAACATCCTGCATAGAGCCTTAAAGATAAAATAGACCTAACCCACTTACAGTTTATTTAGTATTAACAACCAAGTCGGAGAGGAGAAACTCATGGAGAAAATTAAAATTCTACTTCCAGCAAGATAGAATAGGAACACTTTTACCTACAAAATGATCCTGTAAAACGTATTGCTCCATTGTTCTAAATATACTACCATTCTGCTGTACATTACACTTAAAACCTCCAATCAATTCTTTGCTAAATTTCATATTTTCTAACCTACATTGTACAGTGACCTATTAGCCCCACATTAGAGGAAACTCAAGATTTCATTTGTGACTAATCCTTGCCTAAATGGCCTTGTCAAACGACCAGAGGAAAACACTAGAAAGTGCCGATTTCAACAAAGGAGATGAAAAAAGCTATTAAACCAGCTAAATTGACCTCAGTCCCTGGCCCAGACCATTTCACTATTATATACTATGAGAAATGTGCTTAGTCACTTATTTTCAACTTGGAAAAATGATTTCATTAAATCAGGAAAGGTACCCAACTAGATCCTGAATTAGCCATCTGCTGTCCAATTTTAACATTTTTCACAGACTTGTTAAAATCAGCATTTTTTGTAAAATAATTACCTAGAACTACCAAACATGTTATAGTTTATGAAAGCAGAGACCCTGGAGAATACAATGGTTTCTATTTCAGTTTTATTTGTCGCAGACTATTTGTGCAGCCGTTTTTTCAAACACCAAATTTTCATGACAGAAAACTATTTAATGAATTTTAGTGCACACAAGCACAATATAATACCTCATTTTTGGTCAAATATAAAAGATAATGTATCAAATAAATAGACAGAGCATATATTAGTGTAATATCTAAACCACATAAAAATGCCTGTGATGTAGCCAATTATAGGCCTGTCTCTCCTATTAACCTCCCTGGCGGTATGATTATTTCAGATTTTTGGTGCGGAAAGCGGTACCATTATTTTGCATGGAAATATGTAGTTTTTTTTTATTGTAGGCTGTAATTTTTAGGAATAACTCACTGAAATCTGTCTGAACAAGAGTCTAGTAAACATCCCGGGTAGGATAAAATTTTAAACACGAAATCATAAATTATAATTTAATAAATAATCATAAAAATAATAATATAATAATAATACATTTAATTCAATAATATAATCAAACCAAAAACACTGAAATTTGAAATATAGCGCCAAGTTCGCACATCACTGAGCAAAGTCGCAGAATCGTTTTCAGTGATGACGAATTTCCCCACGAATCATTATCACCCAATTCTGCAAGTGGTTCTGATTTACTATCGCTGTTCTTTAGCCGGTCTAAAACCGCTTTTGACCTAAAGCAGCGGTTCTCAACCTGGGGGTCGCGACCCCTTTGGGGGTCGAACGACCATTTCCCAGGGGTCGCCTAAGACCATCGGAAAACACATATTTCCGATGGTCTTAGGAACCGAGACACCGCTCCTCTCTCCGGCGATGTGTGGGTGGGATGATACGCTGCTCCTGTCACCTGGCCACACCTCCGAGATCGCTCAGCAGCTCCGCCTCCTCGCCGCTGATTGGCCACCGGAACTGTAGCTCAGGAGAGGCACACAGGCGGCCAATCACCGGTGAGGAGGTGGAGCTTAGAGAGGAGGAGCCGAGCGGCAGCGCGCGTACATCAAAGAAGATCGAGGGAGCTGACGGAGCGAGTGAAGAGGAGAGCGGCCAGAGAAGGAAGACAGCTGACAGGTAAGTGAGAGAGCGAGCCCAGGCTGTCACTAATACCAACGATGGGGCACTATTCCTCCCCCCACTGACACCAACGATGGGGCACTATTCCTCCCCCCACTGACACCAACGATGGGGCACTATTCCTCCCCCCACTGACACCAACAATGGGACACTATTTCCCCCCCCACTGACACCAACGATGGGACACTATTTTTCCCCCCCCCCTGACCCCAATGATGGGGCACTATTCTCCCCTCCACCACACTGACACCAATGATGGGGCACTATTCCTCCCCCCCACTGACACCAATGATGGGGCACTATTCCTCCCCCCCACTGACACCAACGATGGGACACTATTTCCCCCCCCCCCCTGACCCCAATGATGGGGCACTATTCTCCCCTCCACCACACTGACATCAATGATGGGGCACTATTCCTCCCCCCACTGACACCAACGATGGGACACTATTTCCCCCCCCCCCCTGACCCCAATGATGGGGCACTATTCTCCCCTCCACCACACTGACATCAATGATGGGGCACTATTCCTCCCACTGACACCAATGATGGGACACTATTCCTCCCACTGACACCAATGATGGGGCACTATTCCTCCCACTGACACCAATGATGGGGCACTATTCCTCCCACTGACACCAATGATGTGGCACTATTCCTCCCACTGACACCAGTGATGGGGCACTACTCCCACTGACACCAGTGATGGGGCACTACTCCCCCACTGACACCAGTGATGGGGCACTACTCCCCCCACTGACACCAGTGATGGAGCACTATTCCTCCCACTGACACCAATGATGGGGCACTACTCCCCCCACTGACACCAATGATGGGGCACTACTCTACCCCCACTGACACCAATGATGGGGCACTACTCCTCCCGCCGACACCAATGATGGGGCACTACTCCTCCCACCGACACCAGTGATGGGGCACTACTCCCCCCACCGACACCAGTGATGGGGCACTACTCCCCCCACTGACACCAATGATGGGGCACTACTCCCCCCACTGACACCAATGATGGGGCACACTACTCCCCCCACTGACAACAATGATGGGGCACTATTCCTCCCACTGACAGCAATGATGGGGCACTATTCCTCCCACTGACACCAATGATGGGGCACTATTCTTCCCACTGACACCAATGATGGGGCACTATTCCTCCCACTGACACCAATGATGGGGCACTATTCCTCCCACTGACACCAATGATGGGGCACTATTCCTCCCACTGATACCAACGATGGGGCACTATTCCTCCCACTGATACCAACGATGGGGCACTATTCCTCCCACTGACACCAACGATGGGGCACTATTCCTCCCACTGACACCAACGATGGGGCACTATTCCTCCCACTGACACCAACGATGGGGCACTATTCCTCCCACTGATACCAACGATGGGGCACTATTCCTCCCACTGACACCAGTGATGGGGCACTATTCCTCCCACTGACACCAGTGATGGGGCACTATTCCTCCCACTGACACCAGTGATGGGGCACTATTCATCCCACTGACATCAGTGATGGGGCACTACTCCTTCCACTGACACCAATGATGTGGCACTACTCCTCCCACTGCAAAATTACAGTTATGAAGTAGCAACGAAAATAATTTTATGGTTGGGGGTCACCACAACATGAGGAACTGAATTAAGGGGTCGCGGCATTAGAAAGGTTGAGAACCACTGACCTAAAGGGACACTTTTTGGACGCCATGGACTTTTCTAAGTTTCCAGGTAGAAAGAACAGTCAAAATGCAGACAGGGCGCCGGACAAAGCACTCGGGACAAAATGTATGTGAAATGGATTGAAACAGCAATGTTTTACTATGTAAAATTTGTTTGGAAAAAAATGACTTTTAAAATTTTCAAATTTCCCGCCGCCGCCCGTACGTCCCGACGTCACAGGGACCGGAACACAGAAGCTGGATGCCGGCATCGGCCGGAGGAGATGGCCGGGGACGCTGCAGGGGACACATCGCTGGAGCGCAGGACAAGGTAAGCTCTGCAGGGAATCCCTATGCAGCGCAGCATGGTAAGCCCGAGTGTAGCTCGGGGGGGTTACCCCTTTTGGTACTGACATTTTACCCCGAGATACACTTGGGAATACCGCCAGGGAGGTTAATAATGGTTTAAAACCCCTTACAAAAATACCAGCTAATAGATTATTAGAATGTAAATGAGGATTAAAAGGGTTTCATCCCCCGGAGTCAAGCCTCTGACCAGATCAAACGAGCATCTCCCTTCTACGACTGGGGTAGGATAAAGGAAACCCTAAAACAGCTACTGTATAGCGCTACCCCTGTAGGGGCTGCTGTGATCCTTGGTACCCCTAAACTCTGTGCAGCCAGGCAACATGCATTTTCACACTTTCATCCACAGTCAGTGAACAGTCCATTAGCTTGTTTTTTTGTTATTTTATTAGGTCAATATAACTTAGATAGGCCACCAAGGATTATGGGATGCCCAATTCATTTGAATCAAAGCACAGGGACAACTTCCTTCCTATTTACAGAAACAGATCCTGGACTGCTCTTTTCTTTGAAAGCCATCATACATTGTGGATCAGTAGCAACAGCCCCTTATGGACGTGGAACTCGTAGCCCCTCTGATATCAACTTAGCTTTATGTAAACTATATGCAGAGACGTCTCATCTCCCTATAGAATTGCTCTCAGCTCCACAGCCTGCAGACACTACAAGCCTTCCTGGTTGCTCTGAAGGTCTCCCAGGACAAGGATAAAGGATTAAGTACAGCACTGTCCTTTGAAAGGCTCTCCCCTTTGAAAGACTCTCCCCTTTGACAGATTCTCCCATTGTGTATCCCAAGGTGTGCTGATCCCATATGGAAAATATTTGAAATATATTTTTAAAATATTTTTCCCAAACATATTGACATATATTTGAAATAATACAATTTTGGCCATATTCAATATATTTCAAAATATATTTCAATATATATATATATATATATATATATATATATATATAATGTATATATATATATATATATATATATATATATACTGTATGTTGAAATGCATTTTTATTACAAAATTACAAAAAATTATTAAAAATAAATTTCAAATATATTTTATGTCTTTAAAAATACAAATCTACACTTTTGGAAAGCATTTACAAATATATGTAAAAAATATATGTTAAAATGACTTTTTTATATGTTAAAAAAAATCTGAAGAATATATTTTAAAAAAAATATATATTTTTAAAAATATTTTTCATATATTTTGTAATATATAAATATCGTATTTTGACATGCAGTATATATATACTGACGTTGCTATAGAAGTACCTCTAATAAAATAAAATCTTTTTGACCTAGGCCAGAAACCAGGAAGCAACTAAAGAAATATGGAAAAAAAAATTTAAAACAAGTAAATATAATATACCTTCTTATCTATTCACTAATGCTAGCAGCATAAGGATTAAAATAGTTAAAAAGCACTTTAGTTCAGCTTTCATAACCTGAGATTTTTTTGTCCCGAAGGGTTATTGCAGCACTTTTTCAATAAGTATGGCAGTCTTTGTTTTATCGGTCTGACCTTTAACAATTCAGCTATTGCATACAGTGGTGGGTATAGGAAAAAGAATACAATGGCCCATGTACATCCATGGTCACTGAGGTTGCAGTACATGCTGTCTGCTATACCAAATAATAATAGACAACAATCTGCACTCATTGTCTGATAAAGTACAGTTACGATCTATTAAACCGAATGCTGTACATCTATGATCGCATTGAAGAGCATGCTTCATATAGTGTCCTTGATGTCTGACAAATGGCAAATTCATTTTGTAATTGTAATTTGCAAGATTTCCTCCTAGTTCCTTCCATTCATCAAATGTAATTATTCAGTCCATTCAGCCTTCTGATTAGAACACTTCTTGCAAATTTATAATGAAATTTCTGAATGAGAAAATTGCATGCAGCGTTCTAAGTCCGTCGTTATCTAAAACGCTGAAAGATATCAAGGTCTAATCGTATTTAGCTATTGCTTGGAAAGAAATAGAATGAAAGGGAAGACTATAAGACATAAAGAATGTTCTTTTATGAGATGTACAACACGCATACAAAGTAGAGGGAAAGTTCTGATAAAAAGTTATCAGGGCTTTGCTTAGAGGTTTAAAGCATAACTAAAAGGAAAACCTTTTTTTTACATAGTTTTGGACAAAGTGGAGATGGATTAGAACACCTATTAGGTTTTTATTGCTGTCTGTGACCTCGTTACGGAGATTTACCCTCTATTTGTCCTGCTTACCATTATCACTAAAAGTGAAATTAGCCGCGTCCCAACCGCCCTATAGAAGAACTACTGCTACAGGGCGGCAGGGCTGTGCAAAATCACGTGTATATATATATATATATATATATATATATATATATATATATACACACACGTGACAGGGGCAGACTGATCATTTGGAAACTCGGGCACTGCCCAAGGGCCCAGGGTCAGTAGGGGGCAGGGGCGGACTGACAACTCATGGGGCCCCCGGGCAATAGGGGATTATGGGGCCCCTGTGTCCTTGCCCAAACTCAAAAAAGCCTATGAAAAAGGTACCAGGGGCATCTCATGGGGCCCCTACTGACCCCGGGCCCTCGGGCAATGCCCAAGTTTCCAAATGGTCAGTCCGCCCCTGGTATGGGGCCCCATGAGATGCCCCTCGTACCTTTTTCATAGGCTTTTTTGAGTTTGGACAAGGACACAGGGGCCCCATAATCCCCTATTGCCCGGGGGCCCCATGAGTTGTCAGTCCGCCCCTGATACGTGATTTTGTATTTCCAGGTAGGGGGTGCACGCGCCCTACCTGTGCCACCATTGGCGACGTCAGCTGTCGATCACCGGGTCCAAGCCAGTGATTGCCCGCTGGCACCCGGCGACCGCTGAGTATCACTGACAGGGGAGAGGTCTGTATTTCAACAATACAGATCTCTCCCCTGTCAGCTCCAGCACACTGCTTTGTATTGCTCTCCATAGCACAGCAATAAAAAGCAGCATGCCTACACAGTGAAGCACACACACAGCACACTGTAAAAAAACACACACAGCATACAATTAACCCTTCAATCATCCCAGATGTTAACCCCTTCCTGCCCAGCGTCATTAGTACAGTGTCAGTGCTTTTTATTAGCACTGATCACTGTATTGGTGTCACTGGGGATGTCAGTGACACCAAGTCAGTTCCCCTCCAGTGTTAGACTGGCCGCCGCAGTCCTGCAGTCCGACTATAATTCTCTGATCGCCGCCATTACTAGTACAAAAAAAAAATTCCAGTATATATACCGCCATTTGCAAATGCTATAACCTTCATGCAAACCAAATAACTTACACATATTGGGATTTTTTTTTTTTAGCAAAATACATTTTGGCCTAAATTTATGACGAAACGTGATGACATCACGGAGCTGGTGGATGTTAGAGACCTTGCGCTCCTCCACCTTCCGTTTGAGGAGGCCCCACAGATGCTCAATAGGGTTTAGGTCTGGAGACATGCTTGGCCAGTCCATCACCTTTACCCTCAGCTTCTTTAGCAAGGCAGTGGTGGTCTTGGAGGTGTGTTTGGGGTCGTTATCATGTTGGAATACTGCCCTGCGGCCCAATCTCCGAAGGGAGAGGATCATGCTCTGCTTCAGTATGTCACAGTACATGTTGGCATTCACGGTTCCCTCAATGAACTGTATCTCCCCAGTGCCGGCAGCACTCATGCAGCCCCAGACCATGACACCCCCACCACCATGCTTGACTGTAGGCAAGACACACTTGTCTTTGTGCTCCTCACCTGGTTGCCGCCACACACGCTTGACACCATCTGAACCAAATCAGTTGATCTTGGTGTCATCAGACCACAGGACATGGTTCCAGTAATCCATGTCCTCAGTCTGCTTGTCTTCAGCAAACTGTTTGGGGGCTTTCTTGTGCATCAGCTTTAGAAGAGGCTTCTTTCTGGGATGACAGCCATGCAGACCAATTTGATGCAGTGTGCGGTGTATGGTCTGAGCACTGACAGGCTGACCCCCCACCCCTGCAACCTCTACAGCAATGATGGCAGTACTCATAGGTCTATTTCCCAAAGACAACCTCTGGATATGACGCTGAGCACGTGCACTCAACTTCTTTGGTCGACCATGGCGAGGCCTGTTCTGAGTGGCACCTGTCCTGTATGGACCACTGTATGGTCTTGGTCACCGTGCTGCAGCTCAGTTTCAGGGTCTTGGCAATCTCTTTATAGCCTAGGCCATCTTTATGTAGAGCAACAATTCTGTTTTTCAGATCCTCAGATTTCTTTGCCATGAGGTGCCATGTTGAACTTCCAGTGACCAGTAGGAGAGAGTGAGTGCTATAACACCAATTTAATACACCTGCTCCCCATTCACACCTGAGACCTTGTAACACTAACGAGTCACATGACACCGGGGAGGGAAAATGGCTAATTGGTCCCAATTTGGACATTGTCACTTAGGGGTGAACTCACTTTTGTTGCCAGCGGTTTAGACATTAATGGCGGTGTGTTGAGTTATTTTGAGGGGACAGCAAATGTACATGTTATACAGTGGTAAAATATGAAAGTGCAGCGCTGCACTTTCATATTTTACCATTTACTCTGGAGGTTCACGAGGTGCCTTTTTGTGCCAGCAGCTACCCTATCTACATCCACATACTGCGCTCGATTTTATATATATTTTTTATATATAAGTTTATTTTATCTGTACATGTTATACAAGCTGTACACTGACTACGTCACATTGTAGCAAAGTGTAATTTCTTCAGTGTTGTCACATAAAAAGATATAATAAAATATTTACAAAAATGTGAGGGGTGGACTCACTTCTGGGAGATACTGTATTTTTTTTCAAAATTGTCAGGCTTTTTTTTGTTTATAGCGCAAAAAATTAAAAGTGCACAAGTGATCAAATACCACCAGAAGAAAGCTCTATTTGTGGGAAAAAAGGGACATACATTTCATTTAGGAGCAGTGTTGCATGACCGCGCAGTTGTCAGTTTAAGTAACGTAGCGCCGTATCACAAACAATGGCCTGGTCAGGAAAGGGGGGAAATCCTCAGGAGGGCAAGTGATTAAAAGGAAATCCCAAATGTTGGGTTGTCTCCACAAAAGTAATAGAAGAGAAATGTTCCAATGGGGTAACTAGGTCTGATTCCTTGGGGGGGGGCCCAAGATAGTCCCTTAAATTGCAGGGATTTCATCTCACTTGCTGTTTTGGCTATGGGACAGGAAGTAAAGGTAAATCCCTCCAATGGGAAACAGATGGAAAAAAAGCGGGGCAGGGGTTATAACCCTCCCTTGCGCAATCCAAAATGAAAAAGTTTTGCCTTTAGTTCTACTTTAAGGTACAACTCTGGACTTTTTTTCTTATTTTGGATAGAGCAGGAAAGCTCTGTAACCTTTTTCAATTATCTAGTGTTGTCTGTGACCCCATGGGTTTTCCATTACCTCCTGTCCTGGTGACACAGTGGTAAGGAAGCACACCTAAAAAATAACACAGACAGCATCAAAAACCTGAGCCCAATTATGATCTTCCAAACTCTAGTAATAAAATGAATTTATTGCAGTAGATCCTTTGGGAAGATTCTCTGTGCCTAGGGTTAAAGTGAAGGGAGTATAAGGGCGAGGAAGTAGAAAAAGAGGAATGGAAAGAAGAGGAGAGGTGGGATAATGGTCAGAAAGGGTACATAGGTGCTCAGGAGCAACTCCTCAAAGTTTAGAGTAGGTAGTGCATCATCCAAGGAGTCCAAATTATGGAAAATATTGACTTATTTTCTTAGAAGAGAAATTTGAGGAATTCTTTGTAAATTATACTTACCTAGGTGGACGCTGCATCGAAATGATGCTGCATCTGTCTCCACTGGGTCTAAGGGTGAGAACTGAGGAATCAGACACCGCTAATCGCTCAGCACTCCCCTTCTGCTCTAAGCAGATAGCAGTCACTGTCAGCCACCGGCTGTCTGTTCTGCCCATTAGTGCTCACTGGAGTGCTGGGCTGTGGAGGGGACGGGAGCGGCTGGCTCAGGCTCTTAGCTGAGAGACTGAGCCAGGTGCCGGTCCAGGCTCCCCGAATGGATCCCGACCATTTGGACAGGATCTTTCACCAGCCTGGACTGACTGAGTGTTGTCAGCCAACAACGGACTTTGAGAACAACCTCTCCAGCACTTCAAAGGGGTGAATGCCAGGAAGTAGACCAGGAAATCAAATGTGCTGTTGACCTAGGAAAAGGGTCTTGGTGGTGCAGCCCTCCTCTGACTGGGGGGATCAACCAAAAACTGTGGGGAGTGGCTCTTTAATTTTTTAATAAACCTTGGATAATGCACTAGGTGTTCGCACCCCCCGGTGTGTTTTTCTTTCCAGTTTTTTTTTTTTTTTCCGTCCAACAATGGACTTTAGCCCACTGTTTGCTGAAAATGGGTTACAGGAGTGTAGAATGAACTGCACGCCTGTGATCCACAGGAAAAGTACAGCCAAATTAGTTTTGGCTATTCTTTTTTAAAGCTGAAATTTAGGTATGGCAACTTTTACATAGTTACAAAGGTCCAACTTGGCCATACCTGTGAGATCTCTGGGGAAGCTGGAAATCACTATAGTAGGCACCATTACTACAGTGATTGCCACTACCTTCCGGGTTCCATGCTGAGCCTCTACTCTACTGCTCTGCTGCTCCACTGCTTACTGAACACAGAATGTTGCCCACTTGGCATGGGCATCATTCAGAGAACACTTTGCATTTTCACTTTGCTCTACACGGGACCTGGAAGGTAGCGGCAATCACTGTAGTAGCAGTGCCTACTTCAGTGATTTCCAGCTTCCACAAAGATCTCACTGATATGGCACATGCATACTTACATAAGTCTTACTTGTTAAATGTCATATTTAAGATTCCTGACAATTTTTCAGAGAACATACATTGAATTACTCTGGATTCAAATTCTTTAACCCCTTGACAACACAAATATGTGGGCTTTAAACTTGATGCCACATATATGTGTTCTGTGCTCCCAGCACAAAAACCAGGATCTCACTGAGAGCTCCGGGTCTCATACTAATGATCAGGAATCAGGACTCCTGGTTCCTGAGCACCTGACTGTTGTGATAGCCTCTGATTGGCCATCACAGTGATCACTCACTTTGCAACCTGCCAATGTGTTTTCTTTCTCTCCTCTGAATGGAGAAAAAGATACATTGCATCTTTCTCTCCTTGCCAGGGGAGAATGATGTCAAAAAACAAAAGTATGTAAAAAAAATATAATAAAAAAGAAAAAAATACAAATGAAGTACTCTACATACTTGTTCCAAGTCAGTAACCCAGAATATTAACCCCCCCCCCCCCCCCCCCCCGGGCACCTGCTGTGATTGTACAAAGCAGGAGCCTGTCAGTAAGTCCCGGCCAATGATCCACAGGGCTGGGACCTGCTGATCTGCTGTGTACAATCACAGCCCAGAGTTCTATGTTGGTAAATAACACAGGGCTCTGTACAGAGGGACCAATCTGTCAGTTTCTCATCCCTGCAAAGGGATGAGAAACATAGATCAAATAGTAAAAGCAGCACACTTTACAAATATTACACATAGTTAAGCACGCATTTAACCCCTGACCGCCCTAGATGTTAACCCTTCCCAGCCAGTGCCAGTTCAGTGACAGTGTCACCGGTGATGTCAATGGCAGTAAGTGTCAGATTGCCGGCCACACTCACACAATCCCATTATAAGTTGCTGATCACTGACTGCTTTGGGTCACTAACCGGGAACAAGTATGCAGAACAGTTCTGACTTTGCTACTCTACATATTTGTTCCAAGTCAGTAACCCAGAATATTAAATCCAGTGGTAGTGGATTGAATGGCGCTGGGCGCCTAGGTGGATTCTACTCAGTGCCTATGCTTGGTATTGTCACAAACTCTAGACTGCTTCCATGCACTGAGGGAACCCCACAGAAAACCTCAGAAAACCAATATGGTTGGTTCAAAGATTTGGAGCACCACACCATTTTAAATCCAAACAAGAGGTTTTATTCCAAAACATTTACTGAACTCAAGAGTCAACGCGTTTCAGGGCTTCTATCTGCCCCTTTATCGGGGAGAAGAAAATGGCTGTTGGAGGACTCAAGCTGGAGAAAGAATTGGAATATTTGTATATTGAAAGGTTCAATCTCCTTTGGCAGCCAGTGGATCAGAATAAGACCTCATGCACATGAACGCTTAGTCTACATTCGCCTGAGCTCCCACCTCACTTACAACAACCTTCTTGACCCTTTACAATCTGGCTTTCGCTCACTCCACTCCACTGAACCTGCCCTACTAAAACTCACTAATGATTTACTAACTGCTAAAACTAATGGCCACTACTCCATACTGTTACTATTTGACCTCTCTGCGGCCTCTGATAGTGTTGACCATCCCCTCCTCCTCAAAAAAACTCCACTCTCTTTGACCTCTAAGACGCTGCTCTCTCCTGGTTCTCCTCCTACCTATCACAGTGCTCCTTCAGCGTTACCTATAACTCTGTATCCTCCTCTCCACTTCCTTTTTTTTGTGTAGGGTCCCCTCAAGGTTTTTCTGTCCTTGGACCCCTTCTCTTCTCCATCGACACCTCCTCCTCCCTTGGTCACACTTGATAAACTTCCATGGCTTTAAGTACCATCTCTATGCTGATGACACACAAATCTATCTTTCTACCCCTCACCCTCACCCCTTCCAGTCTCCTTTCGTATTACTAACCTACATAGCGACATATCGGCAAGGATGTCACTCCACTTTCTCAAACTCAATCTTTCTAAAACTGAGCTCCTACAATTTCATCCAGCCCATGCCCCCTCCCCTGACTTCTCCATCAAGATCAATAATACAACCATCAGTCCCTCCCCTCATGCCAGGGTACTAGGTGTAATCCTAGACTCCCATCTGTCCTTTCAGCCCCAAATCCAATCACTGTCCAAATCTTGTAGACTTCACCTCTGCAACATCTCCATGATATGCCGTTCCTAACCTCGGAAACTACTAAGCAACTTATATTCACTCCCTTGTTATATCTCGCTTCGACTATTGTAACTCCCTCCTAATTGGCCAACCTCATCGCAGGCTATCCCCTCTTCAGTCTATCATGAATGCTGCTGCCAGACTCATCCACCTTACTAACCGATCCATATCTGCCATCACTCTCTGCCAATCCCTCCACTGGCTTCCCATTGCCCAACAAATAAAATTCAAAACATTAAAAATAACATATAAAACCATTTATAACTCTGCCCCCAATTACATAACCAGTCTTGTCTCCAAATATCACCCAAACCGTCCTCTCCGCTCCTCGCAAGACCTCCTGCTCTCTATCTCCCTTGTCTCCTCCTCCCATGCTATCAGACTATCGCCTACTCTACCCACTTTTAGGCAATCACTGAAAACCTATCTCTTCAGGGAAGCCTATCCTGCCTACAGCTAACAACGGAATCTTCTATTCCTCCTACCATTTCATCCCCCACAGTTATTACCTTTGTTCCACCAGCCCCTCCCTCTTAGATTGTAAGCTCCATGGAGCAGGACCCTCCTAATCCTCCTTGACAGAAAAAACGCTTGACGCTTGTAAAACTGTGTAATGCTTTTTACAAGCATTTAGGCGCATTTACAGGCATCAAGCGTTGGATGTTAATTTGTTTAAGAATTTATTCTGGCCATTGAAATGAATGGATGCTCAAGGACTAAACGTGCCTAGCGTAAACATGCGTTTAGGCACATTTAGATGCGTTTACGCGCGTCAAACATTTTTTCTGCCAAAACGCTGCTGCTCCTGGACACACTGGCAATGGGGTTTTTTCTTTTACAGCTCCTAAAGCCCATGAAACCAAAAGCATCTAAAAGTCTGTGTGCATTGACACATAGAAAAACATGGAGGGGCGTTTGGAAGGTGTAAAAAAACAAAAAAAAACACCTGACTCCCCTAAAAGTGGCTGCAAAAATGCCCTGTGTGCATGAAGCCTAAACTAGAATATTAGCCTTTGAGTACAGTTGGCTCTTTGATTCAGAATGCAAGAATTTGTACACAGACAGTGCATTCCTTCCACCAAACATTCCTCTGGAAACACCATGGTAGAATCCAGTATGACAGTTAATGACATCTGTGACATCATAAAGAAAGGTTCACATGAAACATGTCACTGTCCCAGAGCACAGATGTCAGCAAGCATTTGCTGAATAACAAACAATAGACACAATCATCTCTTTGAATGAAAGATCTCTCTATATGTATTTTACAGCTGCCTAATGCAATATATGTTTTGTAAAAACGTTTTATTGATGCATGCTTAATATATTGTCCAATGATGAACAAGGACGGGTTATTCAAAACCTTCATCACTAGAGATATTATTTGTCTTCAACCAGTTTACAATCACCCGCTGTAGCAAAAGGACATAGGGGCAGGGGCGGACTGACCATTGGGACACTCGGGCACCGCCTGAGGGCCTGGGGTCAGTAAGGGGCCCCATGAGATGCCCCTGGTACCTTTTTCATAGGCTTTTTTGAGTTCGGGCAAGGACACAGGGGCCCCATGATGCCCTATTGCCGGGGGGCCCCATGAGTTGTCCGTCCGGGGGTATATCTCTGCCTATTTTCTGGTTTCAGGTGAGCACGCCTGCAACTTACCCCCCCCCCCCCCGGCACTTGCTGTGATTGTACACATTGTACACAGTGGGAGCCTGTCAGTAAGTCCTGGCCAATGATCCATGGGGCTGGGACCTGCTGATCGGCTATGTACAATCACAGCCAAGAGTTCTATGTTGATAAATAACACAGAATTCTGTACAGAGGGACTGCAAAGGGATGAGAAACGGAGAGATCTAGTAGTAAAAGCAGCACGCTTTACAAACATTACACATAGTTAGGCACACATTTAACCCCTGATTGCTCTACATCAGGGGCATATTTATCACAAGGCAAACAAGGCATTTGCCTAGGGCGACATTTTGCTTGATGGTGTATGCAGAGCCTGACTCTTGTTCCCGGGGACGTCCGGAGCTGTGAAGGTGAGTGTCTTCTCTTTTGCCGAGCTGGGGGGGTGGAGTTGCCAGTGTATGTGGGGGGGGGCGGTGGTAGTGGAAGGCTCTCTCGGGTGGGGGTGGAGAGGTGGGGGGCTGGAGTGTTGTTGGTCAGTGTCAGGCACTCTACATTGGGGAGGGGGGTGTTGGTCGGTGTCAGGGTCTCTCTGTGGGAGGAGGAGGGAGACGATTTTTGTGTGTTGCCTAGGGCAGCACGAAACCTAAATACACCACTGTCCAAGATGTTAACCCCTTCCCAGCCATTGTCAGTTCAGTGAGTATATAGTCATATCACTGATCACTGTATTGATGTCATCGGTGATGTGAGTAGCAGTTAGTTAGTTGCAATTAGTGTCAGATTGCCCGCCACACTCACACAGTCCCATTAAAAGTCTCTGATCACTGACATTAGTAGTATTAAAAAAATGTATTTAAAACTCCATTTAATATACCATAGTTTGTAGGCGCTATAACTATCAGCAAACCAATCTATATGCACTTATTGGGATTTTGGTTTGCATGCTGCAGAGTACATTTGGCCAAAAGTTATGAAGAAATTTTATTCTTTACATTTTTTTATATGTTTTATAGCAGAAAGTAAAAAATATGTTGTTGTTTTTGTAAATTTTGGGTCATTTTTTTTCATTTATATCGCAAAAAAACCCCAGTGGTGATCAAATACCACCAAAAGAGAGCTCTATTTGTGTGAAAAAAAACCCATAAATTTCGTTTGAGTACAGTGTTGCATGACCTTGCAATTACAGTAATATACACTTATTGGGATTTTTATATTTTACCAAAGACATTTAGCAGAATACATTTGGCCAAAATGTATGAAGAAATTAGATTCTTTACATATCTTTTATGTTTTATAGCAGAAAGTAAAAAAAATGTTTTGTTTTTTTTTTAAATTGTGGGTATTTTTTCATTTATATCGCAAATAAAAAACCCAGTGGTGATCAAATACCACCAAAAGGAGCTCTATTTTTGTGAAAAAAAATATAAACTTCCTATGGGTACAGTGTTGCATGAACGCGCAATTATCAGTTAGGGTACTGAGACTGGAGCATGGTCGGTTGATGTGGCAACAGCTGGTCTACACAACCTCAGGCTGCAGCGGGGACACAGACAGGAAGGGAGGGATAGTGAACAGCAGGATCAACCCGGATTTTTGCAGAATACAGAAAATGTTGGGTGTAAAGCAACAGGCTTGGGTGGTAATACTTCCGTGACCGGAAGTAGTTTGACGAGGCCAGTTGTTCTTTTTCCGATTTAGTCTACAATTAATTCTTTATTTTCTTTTCAAGTTACCATCATCATCCAGCAAGTGCGTTTCTCTTATGGTATCGATTCTTTCATATATGGGGGGCGCTGTTTTATTATGTATGAACACTAGCATAGGATCAATATCTGACTTTTTGGAGGTGTACATTTCCAAGTAAAATGCAGGATGTCTCTAGAAAAATAGTGGGTGAGTTTGAGAAGCAAAATCACCTACCACAGGGCGGGACTTTACCTACATGGGGCCCCCAGGCAATTTATTGATTGTGGGGGCCAATTTGACCCTGTGTCCTTGGGCCCAAACTCAAAAAAGACTATGAAAACAGGTACCAGAAGATTTAATGGGTTTCGCCCCACAGGTGACCCCGGGCTACAGACCCAGGCCCTCGGGCAGTGTGAGAGAGTATCCAAAATTAAGTCCGCCCCTGATCACACCACATTGCAAATTAGTGGGTCATGCTAAAACTGAGTGGGCTTGCGCCTACATTTTGACAATTTATGATAGTTGTTGATAGTTTTTTCCCACAATTAGAGCTTTCTTTGTAGTGGAAAAATATGTAGAAACAACAAAAAAAGAGAGCTTTACTTATACTAAACACAGGACTGTTTAACTGTGGTTTTATTTTTATTTTGGATCACAATCTGGGTTTTGACAAAAAAATTTTGAACCTGCTGTTTAACGCTATATAAATGAATATTAAGGGAAAAAAAGTCTACGCATTTTTTAAACACAGACATTTTTTAAAAAAAACAATATTTTTAGGGGCAGTTCTTGCTACTTTCTGCTATGACTTAGAATTACAGGTCAACCTCCAACAATCAACATTTAATATCCCAACTCACCCTATAGTGGGCATGGTGGAGGAAGGAGGGAGTGGGCTGTCATTTATCTGTAAGTGCTATTTGTCCACATGTGTGACCTCATAATGTCAGCTCGCACAGATTAAGAAAAAAGACACAGGAAATGAACAGCTTAGAAGGAACTGAGACTGGAGCAATGGTCAGATTGTGTGGCAACAGCTGGTCAAACACAACCACAGGCTGCAGCAGGAAACACAGACAGGAAGGGAGGGATAGTGAAACAGCAGGGACAACCAATTTTTTGCAGAATAGAGAAAATGTATAGTATGAACAGTATATGTTTTAAAATGATTGGGTTTTAAAGCACTTGACCTCCAAAGATTTTACGCCACCTATTCATAGCGTTAACCAATGCAACACTTGTATATGAAATTTATGTAATATTTTTTTCCCACAATGAGCTTTCGTTTAGTGGTATGCTGATCACTCTCTGGGTTTTTTTTAATTTGCGCTATAAATGGAAAAAACACAGACATTTTTTCATTTTATACTTTCTGCTATCAAATTATATCCAATAAAAACATTTTAAAAAAAATCATAATTTCTTCATAAAACGTAGGCAAAATGTCTAGCGTAATGGCGGCAAAAGTTAATCAGCAACTGCGGTATATATTGTACTGCGATATTGTGGAGGACAATTCTGACACTGACACTGTGGGAACCAGTGACACTAAAACAGTGATCAGTGCTGGCTGGGAAGGGGGTTAAACATCTAGGGCGATCAAAGGGTTAATTGTGTGTCTAGCCCACAGGTGTCTGGCAGCCCTCCAGCTGTTGTGCGAAACTACAAATCCCATGAGGCATTGCTAGGTTGATAGTTACAAACATAGACTCCCAAAGGCAGAGGCATGATGGGACTTGTAGTTCCGCAACAGCTAGAGGGCCATAAGTTTGACTACCCCTGGTAGCCAGTGTTTTTTGTGTGTACAATGTGCTGTTTTTACTAGGCAATCTGCCAAATTTTATTCACTGAATAAAATCTAGCAATCACCGTTGACATAGGCAGAGCTGTGTTCTATCAGTCTCCTCATCGATCAGCAGGTGTCGGCACTTTGTTACATTTCTGCTTAAAGGGACAGCACTAACCCCTATCTGGGACCCCTCTGGTATTTTGTTCTGAATGTTCTTTTTGGAATTACAAAACTCTGTTTCGGGCACTCCAACATAGATTTAGAAGCCTCTGATAGCTATGAAGTACTGGGACAGTCAGAGGGGGAAAAGATAAGACTGTAAACCTTGTATCTTTCTCTCATCTATTTGAGAGGCCTAGGACAGAGATCTCCATACTGTGGCCCAAGGGCCAAGATGGCCCTCTTCTAGCCTGTATCTGGCCCTTGTGGCACTATTCTTCCCAATAATATGAGGCACTTTTCCTCCCACTGACACCAAGAGTGGGGCACAATTCCTGCCACTGACAATAATATATGGGGCCCTATTCCTTCCAGTAAGTTCAATCATGGGGAACCTTTCCTCCCACCTGACACCAACAATGTTGGTACTATTCCTCCCACTGATACCAGTGATGGGGCACTATTCCTCCCAATATTATAAGGCACTTTTCCTCCCACTGAGACCAAGAGTGGGGCATAATTCCTGCCACTGACAATAATGAAGGGCCCTATTCCTTCCAGTAAGTTCAATCATAGGGAACTTTTCCTCCCACTGACACCAACAATGTGGTACTATTCCTCCCCCTGAAACCAGTAATGGGGTACTATTCCTCCTACTGACCACCAACCCTGAGGCCATGTTTATTCTCACTGATGCGGGGCCCAGTACATTTTCTAACCCCCACTGGCCACATTCTGGCCCCCCTAAAGTCTGAAGGACAGTAAACTGGCCCTTTGGTTGAAAAGTTTGAAGATCCCTGGCCTAGGAGGTCTAAACTTTGCCCTTGAACCAGGTTGTTAGGTACCCATTAGATATGATTCTAATGAAGGAATATAGAAATGTTTGGATGACATTTACAGATTCCTCTCTGTTCTCAGCTGCTCCTCCCCATCGTCACTTGAATGCCGGATGGTGGGAATTAAATTGAGCCATCAATGCTCATAGCTCAGTGCAGAAATGAAAGACTTCCACTCTCCGATGACATCACTGGAATCCAGGTTTATTGTATAAAACAACTACAAGCACTACAATGAGAGTCCCTTTGGCCATCCTTATGACTATGCCCTATTGGGTGAAACATGTCAGAGGGGGGCAGTCCTAGAGTGGGGACTGTCATTGAAGCGCATGTGTTTTTTTATACAATAAGCCTGGATTCCATGAAGCCACTTGGATGTGGTGGTCTTTTTATCCCTGCCATGTAGAAAAACGTTATAGCCTATGAAAAAAAAAACGAAAACAAAAAATATTTTGTTGATTATAGCAGAATAGAAAAATGTAACAAATTTGGTAAATCAGAAATGTTTGTGACTGCATCTGAGAGAAATACTGCATAGGTTATTGTAAGACATAAATTCATGCAGTATTTATCTCTTAGTAAACAGATGCCAGGATAGCCAAAATAAGGAGTATTGACCATTTGGAAACTCGGGCACTACCCGAGGGCCCGGGGTCAGTAGGGGGGCCCAGGAGATGCCCTGGAACCTTTTTCATAGGCTTTTTTGAGTTTGGGCAAGGACACAGGGGCCCCATGATCCCCTATTGCCCGGGGGCCCCATGAGTTGTCAGTCCGCCCCTGATTCCTTCGTTTTGTGAAACGTAAACTAGATGATGATCAGGATGATCGTTTGGGGTTTCTTTTGTATGATCCTGCTGCAGTTTGTGAAAATATTGAGTGTTTATTTCCTTCTTTTTTTTCAATTTAAAAAATACTTTTTTCACCATATGCCTGTCAATTGTCTATTGATTACCTCCGCTTGGAGCAGAAATGAAATCTGACAAAAAAAAATCCATACATATCATTTCTGCACTAAATCCAAAAAGCCTTCTGTAGGAAAGTCAATGCATATATTACAAAGATTCCCTATTCATGTCATACTTCATATGAGACTAAATTAGGTGTGAACGCTGCAGCAAGACATTCTACTGGATGGCGGGAACAGAATTTAAAGCAGCCATACACTGTGCATACATAAAAGTGATAGAATGTGCCGATACGTCTACTTTCCAAACTGCAGCAATTATCACTGAATAAATAAATCAAGGCCTTGCTTTAATTTATCTATGATCTGACAACTCATGCAGGAAATCAGATTCAATAATAAGTATTACGGGGGGGTTTTTGGACTCTGTGGAACATTAATTTAACATTCACAGCAGCAAAGTTTAGGGGCACCCCACATGGAAGAAAAATATATTTGAAATATATTTTAAAAATATTCTTCCCAAATATATTGCCATATATTTGAAATGCTACAATTTTGGCCATATTTAATATATTTCTATATATATATATATATATATATATATATATATATATATATACTGCATGTTGAAATGCGTTTTTATTACAAAATATATGAAAAATATTTTTAAAAATACATTTCATATATACTGTATGTCTTTAAAAATACAAATCTACATTTTTGGAATGCATTTACAAATATATGTAAAAATATATGCTAAAATTACTTTTTTATATGTTAAACAAATCTGAAGAATATATTTAAAAATCTATATTTTTAAAAATATTTTTCATATATTTTGTAATATATAAATACTGCATTTCGACATACAATATTATATATATATATTATATATATATCAGGGGCGGACTGACAACTCATGGGGCCCCCGGGCAATAGGGGATCATGGGGCCCCTGTGTCCTTGCCCAAACTCAAAAAACCCTATGAAAAAGGTACCAGGTGTTAAAAAAAATCTGAAGAATATATTTGAAAAAAAATATATATTTTTAAAAATGTATTTTTTCAAAATATATTCTTCAGATTTTTTTGATTCATGTATGGGCAGGCTGGTTAAGATTAGATCCTCTACGAGTAAGCCCAATAAGGTGAAACGCATAAAATAAAAGGGGTGTGGCCAAGATGCAGGGAGTTTCATTGAAGCTTCATTGTGTTTACCAGTGAATTGATTACAGTGGAATGTGCATCTAAATGCTGGGGTTGTCTTATGGAGTGCTCCTGGAGGGGCTGGCACCCACTATGGGACAAGAACCAATGAGAAGGACAAGTGGAAGGCTCTCGAGAGGCACATGTCCAGCAGATGTCTCTCACATTCGTAAGCATACCAAACCTTAGGACTTCCATAGTTGCTGTCTTTGCGCATGCATGTGAGCAGATAATGGGGGGAATCTACACGTGTGCAGATGTGTAGCAGGGTTCATGCTCATCCCAGGGCCCAAAGCCCTGCATCACATCTTTGTATGCGCAGGGAGTGGGGCCAACGCATGTCACTTTAGCCTAGGCGAGAAATTTAGACCACAATGTATTCTGCTACATCTCTTTGGTTAAACAAAAAAAATCTCAATACATGTATATTAACTGGTTTGTGTGAAAGTTATAGCGTCTACAAATTATGGTATAGATACTGAAATTTACACAGTTTTTACTTTCTGGCTGCCTATCACATTTCTTGAGGTGCCAAAATGCCAGGGCAGTACAACACCCCCCCCCCCCCACACCACCACCACCACCACCAAATGACCCTTTTTTGGAAAGTAGACAGCCCAAGGATTTTGCAGAGAGGCATGTTGAGTCCATGGAACATTTTACTTTTTGACACAAATTGTTTGAGCATGACTTTTAGTTTTTTTGTTTTTACACAACATTGTCACTTTAATGATTTATTGCGCACACATGCCACGAGTATATGTGGAATAACACCCCAAAACAGATTCTTCTATTTCTTCCAAGTATGGGGATACCACATGTGAGAGCCTTTTTGGCAGCTCTCAAAATCCAATGACCACCTCCAGGCTTTCAAAGGGCAAATTTCCTCATATCACTTCCCCACTACTCATCACAGTTTCGGAGGCTCTAAAGTGACAGGATAGTACAAACACCCCCCCCCCCAAAGGACCCCTTTTTGTAAAGTAGATATCCCAAGGAATTTGATAAAAGGCATGGTCGGTATTTTACAGATATAATTTTTGTCACAGGGTTTTGAAAATGAAAAAAAAATAAGAGAAAAAATACATTTTTGTTTTCTTTCTTCGTTTTCCAAAAACATGTGGCAACAAATGAGATCTGCAAAATACTCACCATGTCGCTGAGCAAATACCTTGGCGTGTCTACTCTCTAAAAAAGGGGTCATTTGGAGAGGTTGCTTCTACTATCCTGGCATTTCGGGGGCCATCATTAGAAGCTTATGCCACACATCACTCACTCTTGAAGACCAAGCCTTTTCTGACACTTTGTTCACATGAAAAAACTGGGTTTTTTTTTTTTGCTAGAAAATTACTTTGAACCCCCAAACATTATATATTTTTTTTAAAGAAGAGGCCCTAGAGAATAAAACAGTGGGAGTTGAAATTTTTTACGTCACACAGTATTTGCGCTGCGATTTTTCAAACGCAAATCTTTTGGGAAAAATACGCTTTTTAGAATTTTAATGCACAAAAACACAATATATTGCCCAATTGTTTGGCAAAATATAAAAGATGATGTTACACCGAGTGAATAAATACCAAACATGACATGCTTTAAAATTGTGCATGCCCGTGCAATGGCAGCAAAGTACATACATTTTTATTATCGATAGGCAACTCTATAAAAGCCTTTACAGGTCGCTTTGCCTGTAGCTGCTGTTCACATTGCTGCTGCTGTGTGTGCACATAAACCTGCCATAAGCCGCTGACCGTGTGCTGAGGACACTCCAGGCAGATCCAGAAGTGAGCTGACATCTGAAAAGTGGGACCCCTGTTGCTGTATTGCTAGGACTGGTGAAGGAATACTGCTGCCATTAACCTTTTGCTGCTAGCAGAAACTGAGCCCGTAAGGTTTGCCCATCTAAATAGCAGCATTATTTACTGGGACTGTACTCATGTGCACCTCCATAAAGACTGGGCCCCCACACTAGCCGGCTGAAGAACTAGGGCTAAAGACTGCTCACGCATATAGCTGGTTCACAAAAGCTTTATCTGTTGTCCATAATAAGAGATACCTCTTTAGGGAGTCTTAAATGTAATCACTGCTATTCATATAGAGTACACTCTAAAGTTGATATAGCCTACTGTTTACAGCAGAGTTGTCACAGCATTGATTATTATTGCTGTTAATGTTTTCTAATTCCATTACTTATTGCTTATTACTGATTATATGGATTACCAGGCTTGCGCTAAATCAGCTACATAGAACTCCATAGCTGCTAAAGCCTAGTGAACATATTGTCTACTGAACGGTGATCAATTTAATTCTTTACTTACTCATTTTTGTGCATACAGGTTTTTACTGCAACCTATGTTCCTTTACCATTGCCCAGTCTGATGTTTGCTTTTTGATGCTTAATCTTAGCTGTGTGCAGGATATCTGTATTTGTGCTCCCAGTAGCAGTGCAGTATTTGCTTAACCTGGTGTGTCAGTGGAGCTGAGGTTGTTCTCAGAGTCAAGGCAGAAGAACAGAGAACCCAATCTTCCAGGTGGTACCTGCGAGGGTAGTGCTACATGATCAATAATATTTCATCTTTCATTTTGAGCAAATGCAATGGAGCAGTCGTCTTCAAACTCTCCAGATGCGGCGCTTTGCTTACTTTTATCCAGCCCTTGGGGCACTATTTTTCTTCACTGATATCAGCAATGTGGCATACCTCCCCCCCCCCCCGACACCAATGACGGGTCACAATTCCTCCTAATGACACCAAAGATGGTGTCCACTCCAACACTCCACTCCTTTGACCTTGCTACCACTGAAGAGGTCACTAAGGTCTTCTCTGAAGCCTGCCTCACCACCTGCCCCCTTGACCCTGTCCCCTCACAACTCCTACGATCACCCTCCTCCATCCTACGCACCCTCACTCACATCTTTAATCTCACTTAAAAAACCCTCCCTGGATCCCACCAACCTGAACAACCTTAGACCCATCTCCCTGCTGCCATTTACATCCAAACTCCTTGAGCGCTTAGTCTATAATCGCCTGAGTTCCCACCTCACCGACAACAACCTCCTTGATCCCCTACAGTCTGGCTTCCGTCCCCTACACTCCACCGAAACTGCCTTACTCAAACTCACCAATGACCTGCTAACCGCCAAAGCTAATGGCCACTATTCAGTGCTCCTACTCCTCGACCCCTCCGCGGCTTTCAACACAGTTGACCACCCCCTCCTCAAAAAAAAACTACACTCTCTTGGCCTCAGAGACTCCTCTCTCTCCTGGCTCTCTTCCTATCTATCACAGCGCTCCTTCAGTGTTACCTATAACGCTGCCACCTCCCCCTCACTCCCCCTCTTTGTTGAGGTCCCTCAAGGTTCTGTGCTGGGGCCCCTTCTCTTCTCCATCTACACCTCCTCCCTTGGCCAACTGATACACTCTCACGGCTTCAACTACCATTTATATGCCAACTACACACAAATCTATCTCTCTTCCCCTCGCCTCACCCCCTCAGTCTCCGCCCGAATCACTAGCCTACTGAACGACATATCGGATTGGATGTCACTCCACTTCCTCAAATTAAACCTTTCCAAAACCGAGCTCCTAGTTTTCCCCCCAGCCCGAGCCCCCTCCCCGACTTCTCCA